AAAAAAAAAAAAAAAGAAAATTTTAAAAAAGAATTTATATCTAAACCTCATTATGCTTCTACTAGCACAAGTATCAAAGTGTTCTTTGTATAACATTGTTAAAGGAAAAACCAAAAAGAAACACACTAGCATTAAACAAAGACTATGTTCAAGACTAAGGAACTTACTAGAGAGAAAAGAGAGAGTGGCTGGGATGTAGCTCAGTTTTTAAAAAGGGAGAGAAGGACTATCTAGCGAGACTGCTGGACAAGTAGGTGCTGGCCCATCCTGCAACAGTCTGCCCACAGTGGACCTGAGAGGTCCTGGACCAGGGTGGTCTGCCTGGCTGAACAGAGGAGGAAGGTACAGAGTAAGAGGGAACGATTCCTACAGAGCTCCCAACATCTGCCAGGAGCATCAGTCCACAAAGAACCTGCACAAGACCCACATGTAGAAACTGATGACAACAGGAAGTATGGCTCCTTCTCCTGTCTCACATGCTGTTCTCTCTCCCCCATCACTCCCCCTCCCCTCCTTCTCTCCTTCCTGTTTATGAGCCCTTGCACAGGGACAGCTGGTGCAGTGAGTATGTCGTGTCACTCAGGCTGTACGAGGCAGCTCTGCAAGCAAAGGCTCAGCAGGCGTGGGCCTCGAGCTCAGCACTAAGCCGAGCAGACTGCTTAAGCAGAGTCTCAAGGAAGGGAACACTGACCTGTAGAAGTGAAGCTTTTCAAGAAAAAATACCGAGCAGACATCCATTCCATAACTGTCCACAGGGCATTTAGTCGAACACATCATAAGTCCTACCATAGTGGTTAGTGATGAGTCTCACAACCAGCACTCACCTCCTCGATGAACACAGAGAACCGTGCCAAAATCTGCAGGGTGAGCCTCCACAGGCGGTGTGCCAGCAAGGGCAGAAACATCTTGTCTGACCAGCACTTCCTGAGGCTGCTCCATGTTCTGTGAGAGGCCAAAAGGCAGTATGGACTCCCAGCTGCAGAAAGACCATGGACTTAAGGGCTCCACCAGGCAGGGGCAACAGTGAAACGCTATTTTCGGTTTAATAAGGGAGGCATTCTAAAGAATGCTGCGGCCAGCAGAGCAGTTGCCACAGCCAGGTTTCCCAGCCTGTAATGTAGTCTGTGAGTTAACAACCACCACCCCCAGAAGTATAGGTAAGCATGAACACAACATCCAAAATATTTTAAATATATATTTTTTTACACCAAATCAACATTGGCAAGGGTGTAAATTTCTATTCTGAATTTGTCTGGTTTGATTTGTCTATCCCTCACCTTCTTATCTCAGGACACAGCTACCCCTTACAAAAATGAGTTGACTAACGTCAGCAAAGACAGACGCATCTAACTGAAGCTAAATGGAGCTTCCTTTTTTTTTTTTTTTTTAATGCCAGTCCTAGGGTTTGAATTCAAGGTCTGGCCACTGCCCCTGAGCTTCTTTCTAGCACTTTGCCACTGAGCCACAGCTCTACTTCCAGCTTTTTTTTTTTTTTAGCAGTTTATTTTAGATAAGGGTCATGGATGTAACTGTGTGGGCTGGCTTTGAACTGCAATCCTCAGATCTCAGCCTCCTGAGTAGCTAGGATTACAGGTGTGAGCCACTGGCACCCAGCTTAGGTGGAGGTTCTTAATGCATGCAGATTTAGCTGCTTCAGACAGAGCAGTCACTAATACTGAGGACCACAAACAGCAAAGCTGTAGGAAGAGCCACACTGCCTCTCTCAGTGATCACCAGCAATAAGCATAACATGTGGCAAATACCAGTAAGGCAGTCAGGGCATGCACACAACTCCTGCACGCATGCATACACCCCTGCAACACTTATGGCCCAACATCCAGGGGTTAGGAGCACAGAAAAGGAGGCCTAAATATATGCTCCAGCTGAGTCACTACCAGGGGGGGCCCTGCATTCAGACCCCTCCCTGTCTGTAGTCTATGCTCAGCTGAAGAGGAAGGTGGACAGACTCAGCCTCCACATGGAAGTACAGAAAGGTGCCTTCTATTTCAAAAAGGATCCTTTCTTTTATCATCCTTATTAAGCAAGAAGCTCAATGAATCAAAAGACTGGTTTCTTTTGGCCTCACAAAAAAAGCAACTGGCCAGGGAGGTGTTCAGAGAACAGCTACCCAGCACACTACGAGCCCTGACATGACCCCCGCACGCGGGGAGCCCTGACATGGTCCCCTGTACTGTCCAGTAAAATCAGTTAAACTAGGTATCCTCAACTTACTGTGTGGTGGGAAAGGTGATGGACTCTGAGGGCTGGGGTTAGCCGCTGGTGAACTCGGCTAACCCGTCAGGGGCACCTGCTGTTTCCCTCTAAGAGGTTACCTGGAGCATCTGCCAGCCCGTCCATGAATGCTGCCTCTAAGGATCCTGCCACTTCTCTGAACCTGCAAAAAACAAGGACACAGATGAGTGCTGATGGCCCTGTCAGCCCTGCCCCTGCCTATCCCCTCTTCCCAAGTGGCAAGACAGCTCACTTGCCTGTTGACACCCATTCTTCTCAACCAGCCTTGGGACACCTATTCTCCCAACTTTTAAAAAAACTTTAAAAAAAGTTTGGCACTTAATATGCTATACTGGTCAAGCCAGCAATCTATATAGCTGTAGCTATATGTTTTCTTGCAGCTAGTCTGTTTCTAAAATTAAAAACATTAAGCAGTTGTCCTGTAAGCCCACCCTCTTGTAATCCTCTACACATTTCAAGGCCATACAAGTATATGTGTCTCTAGCCCACACCTGCTAATACTATCACAGCTAAGGACATACCCCTAACAAAGAAATGGGGAAAGCCTTGCTCCACATCTTGACTTGCAGCTTAACTAAAGTCATAAAGGCAGACAGCAATGCCTTGAGCTCAATGCTCAGTGCCCGCCAGCCTCTGCTGACTCTTCTGCCCTTATATACATCTGGTGGCATTCCCAGATGATAGCTGGTTCCCTGGCCTGAGGTCCCCATCACCCCTGTTCACTGTCAGAGATGAACATGTTTGCATAACTTTGTGGAAACATAGCTGTTTTATTTATCTTGTACTAGTTGATGCTCAGGCACTGTGTCCAAATGTCTATCAGTGTACTCTTTTGCCCCCACTGGGTCCCTCAACCAACAATAAATTTGGATTCATGCTCAAGAGAAATTGATCTAAGTGACATTTTCAGTTTTAAAAAGAAGTCAGAGCTAAAGGTAGTAATTCTCTGGAGAGAATAACACCTCAAAGCAAAGCAGCAAGCCTAGAGAACCCCAACACTGCAGCTGCCTGATCTACTCCCCAGAAGGAAAGGAAGCCTCTGCTGCCCACTGGGGCCTGCAAAAGGCTGGCCTTGACAAGCTGCAGGTGAGAGGCGAGCTGGGCTGCCCCAGCCTGGGGATGCCGGGATGTGGGTGAGAGGCAAGCTGGGCTGCCCCAGCCTATGGGTACTGGGGTGCAGGTGAGAGGCGAGCTGGGCTGCCCCAGCCTGGGGGTGCCAGCACATAGAAGATCTCGAGGAGCACGTGGCTCTGGTATACAATGTCACATTTCCTAGGAAAATGTCAACATGCCACAGACATGGTCACTGTCAGGTGCTAGTGAGATAAAGTTCTAGAGTCATACTTGAATTTAGCTTTTAGATGAAAAGCAAATGTAGTGGAAACAAGCTGTATACTTTTATAATTTAAGCATAATTTAAATTTTTTTCATAAGCTTCAAACATAAGTTTACAATCCCTTTGAATACTTGTATGAATTGGATGAAAGCCACAGGTCTTGTGGGGAAATGACTGCATTTCAGCACTGTTCTAGCCTGATTCCTAGCTTGACAGGAAGTGGACAGGATGAAGCTGGGATGGGCACAGCTGGGCACATGGGGACACGAGGAGTGGTGCAGAGGGGTGGGGCACAGCTGGGCACACGGGACATGAGGAGTGGGGCAGAGGGGCATGGTGGGGCACAGCTGGGCACACGGGACATGAGTGGGGCAGAGGGCCGTGGTGGGGCACAGCTGGGCACATGGGAGGCATGAGGAGTGGGGCAGAGGGGCATGGTGGGGCACAGCTGGGCACATGGGAGGCATGAGGAGTGGGGCAGAGGACCGTGGTGGGGCATAGCTGGGCACATGGGAGGCATGAAGAGTGGGGCAGAGGGGCGTGGTGGGGCACAGCTGGGCACATGGGAGGCATGAGGAGTGGGGCAGAGGGCCGTGGTGGGGCACAGCTGGGCACATGGGAGGCATGAGGAGTGGGGCAGAGGACCGTGGTGGGGCATAGCTGGGCACATGGGAGGCATGAGGAGTGGGGCAGAGGGGCATGGTGGGGCACAACTGGGCACACAGGAGCATGAGGAGTGGGGCAGAGGGCCGTGGTGGTGCTGAGAAAGGCGTCAACAAATAACTAGATGGGGAGGTTCGCAACATCTGCACCAGCTTTAGTCATCAAAATAGCCCTGCATGACTTCAAATTGTCCTCCTGACACAGAGGCTTCTGTCCTGGTCCCTCTTTACAAACATGTAATGGCCAGTACCATGTAGACCTGTGTGTTTTGGATGGGCATGCCCATAAGTCCCACTGGTGTCATGCCCTTGGGAGACTAAGATTACACACATTCTCAATCATACCAGGCAATTATAGTCAGGGTACCTGATTCCTGACATATTTCCCTCTGCAATCTTTCTTAAAGCTCTGGGGAAGGGCTGATCACAACCAATGAAAACACCCAGCAATTTGTGGAGTCTCACTGGCTAGCTACAAACTGTGAAGCTCAGATTTCAACTCCCAAAGTAGCTACAATTACAAGTGTAAGCGACCAGCACTCAGCTAGCACCCAGAATTTAAAAAACGTTTCAAAAACAAAACAAAACAAAACAAAACCAAAACCCTAAGCTAGGAAACAATAAGGGAAGGGGTGACATTGTCCAAAAGGAAATGTACTTTCTGCCTGACTTATGTAACTATAACCCGTTTTTAGCATTTTCAAGAAAATAACAAATAAACCCAAGGACTGTCCACCCCCGCCCCACCCTGCCACGCAGAGCCCTCTGCCTGCTTATTAGTGAATACAGAACCCACAATATCCTGAGAGACTGCCAAGACCCTGACTGCTTTTCCAACATCAACTAAACTTTTCCCAAGCATTTTGTAGAACTGTGTACTGACACAGCTGATAGCATCCTGAGACCTGGGAGAAAAGTCCACTTTCCAGAACAGAAAATGAGAAAATGTCACAAAGGCCACGGGGGGGGGGAGGGGGAAGGTTATGGGGTGTATCCAGGATCTCTTATGACTGACAACAGTCCCTCCCACTCCTACAGGTAAACACTGCAAATGAGAAGCACAGCAGTGGGACACATGGAGAAGGAAAGAGCTGCAATCCACAAAGGACACACTGGAACCCAGCTCATTTCAGCTCCTAAGATCCCATTACTAGGAAACCGATGTATGGAAATGTCTGTTTGCCAGAGTGGCACCTACACTTCCTGTTCATTTCTGCCTCCCAAACACCATCCAGAGAAGTGGCTGTGGCTTGGGGTGACATTCTTAACTAGCTTTCTGTCCTATTGTGAGGGCAGGGTGAGGAATGAGTGACTGACCGTATCTGAAAATACACGGGCAGGTTCCACTTGTTACTGAAGCTGTGATAGGCAGGGTGTGCCCGGAGTCTCTTCACACTGGCTTGGGATCCGCACTGTTGCTCAAATCCTCTGACAAAACCCATGCTGATGGTGTATTTCTAGAACAAGAACACACAGTGAGTTCTCATCAGCGGCAAGCTCACCTGAATAGGGAACAGGAACACGTATGCAAGACCACGATCAAAACAGAGAAGGTCAGCATCCAGAACCAGAGTTCTGGAGCCAACAGAGATCTCAGTGTTCCCACTTAGAGATGAGATCCTCAAAGCATTCCTGTGATATATTTGAGGTCTCCTGTGACAAAGCCTGCCTGGAGTTCCATCTTCAATTTCTTAAAATTTGCAAAGTCATGTCCAGGGTAGATGGATGACTTTGCACTCCCACAGGAGTGGGTAGAGCTCTTCCCCATTCCCTCCATCCTTGTCAGCAGTTGCTTCCTTGATGTTTTTCTGTTGGGGTGAGGTGGAATCTCACCCCAGGATGTGGAACATCACTTCATGTATTTCCTTATTTGAAAAATATCTGTTCATACCTGCCCATTTGTTGACTGGATTATTTAAATTTTTGAGTTGTTTACATATTGTAGGTATCTATCTCATTAGACAGCCACTGGGCAGATTTCTCTCTTATTCTGTAGGGTATCTCATCTCCTGTTTCTTTCACTGTGCAGAGCTGTTTGATTTGATATAACTGCATGTAGCAATTCTTGGCTTTTACTTCCTAAGTCCTATTCAGAAAGTCATTACCCAGGATAACATCTTCAAGTGTTTCTCATTTTCCTTGAGTAGTTTCAAGTTTTACATTAAAATCTATTTTGAGTTGATTTTTGTACCAGGTAAGAGATCAGGATATGTTGTCAGTCTTCTACAGCACATACCCAGTTTTCCAACACCATCTGTCAAACAGGCTATCTTCCCCTCCCCCCACAATGTTTTGGGAACTTTGACAAGAATTTGATGCAGTACCTGCTTGGGCTTGTTTTATCTCTTCCATCCATCTATGTCTGTTTAGTGTCAGTATCATACTTTTTTTTTTGTTGGTCATGGGTCCTAAACTCTGGGCCTGGGCATTGTTCCTCAGCTTTTCAGCTCAAGCTTAGCGTGCTACCACTTGAGCCACGACACCACTTTCAGCCTTTTCTGTTTATGTGGTGCCGAGGAATCAAACCCCAGTCCCTTATGCATGTGAGGCAAGCACTCTACCACTGAGCTACCTTTCCAGCCCCACTATGTTATTTTTTGTACACAATTTAAAGTTGAGTTCTTTCAGTATTTTAAAGTTTAGCATCACTGCAGGGTGCCGGTGGCTCACGCCTGTAATCCTAGCTACTCAGGAGGCTGAGATCTGAGAATCGAGGTTCAAAGCCAGCCCAGGCAGGAAAGACCGTGAGACTCCTATCTCCAATAAACCACTAGAAAAAAACCAGAAGTGGCACTGTGGCTCAAGTGGTAGAGCACTCGCCTTGAGCTGAAGAGCTGAGTGACAGCGCCCAGGCCCAGAGTTCAAGCCCCATGACTGACAAAAAAAAAAAAAAGTTTAGCATCACTCTTTTTGCTCAGAATTGCTTTGGCTATTTGAGGTCCTTTGTGTTTCCATGGGGTTTAGAATTTATGTATTCTATTTCTGCAAAGAATAGCATTGGAATTATAATGGGGACTGCACTGAATCTTTAGAATGGCTTTTGGTGGTACTGCCACTTTCACAATTCTACTACTCCACAAATATGGGGAGAGTGAGCTCCATTCTATATCCCTATATCCTAGTGTATTTTCCAGTGCTTTATAGCTTTCGTTGCAAGAAGTCTTGAATGTCTCTGGTTAACTTTATGCCTATGCATCATACTGTTTTGAGGCTAGTGTGAATGGAGGAGTCCTATCATTTCCACAGATGAGCACCTGAGATCTGTCAGGGTTTACCAGCCCCACTGAGGGCAGGTGGCGGTAGCGCTGAAACAGCTCTATGAGGTAACCATGGCTAGTCCTTCCCCACTCGAAACACCATTTCTTCTTGTGTTGGGCTCAAAGAATAGTGCTCAAAGGCAAAGCTAGTAAACAGAAACTGCCGAGCCCTACCCATCAGCACATGTGCAGTTATATTTCTGTTTCCCAATCTCCAAACTCCACCAATACTGCTGGACTTTTAAAATCTTCTTAATCTAGTTTATTAAACCATGAACACAACCTGACAGATATTTTCAGGGCAGTGAAATGCAGAAGTTTAAAGTTTCTTCCTACTAGTTTTGGGCAACACTCCTAGTATTCCTTGAGAATGGTCTTGGTATAATGCCTAAATCAGAAGGAACAACAGAGAATAAAAGAAGAAAGCAAATACCTAAAAGCCTCAAGTACAAACAACGTAGGAAAAGAAGGGGAGGAAGCACAATATAAATTGCAATTCATCAGCCATTAAAATCACTGTAGACCTAATAAACTATCCATTAAAAGACAAAGATTATTAGCTTATTAAGAAAACCAAAGAGTAAAACTCCAGGAAAGAAGAAGGAATGGAGGCACAAAGAGGCTGAGCAAGAACAGCCAGAAGGACACTGGGCCCAGGGTTCAGAGCCCGTCTGTACACTTAGCTACAGTCAGCATTGCTTTCAAAAGACAACATGGTGGGAAACAAGTACATAGATTTGCTTTGGGAATCTTAACTATGATGTCTTTTAAACAATGTTTCTTTTTAAAGGAAATAATAGAGCTTCCTACCTTTTTAATTATAAAGGACATTTATACAGCATATTTTAGAATCCAATCAATAACTTATTTTCCTTCAACCTAACGCTGTCTGGTCATGCCAGTAGAAATGTACAAAATTTTTAATTTTTTATGGAAAACAATGGCCAAGTTATTGGCTTTCTGAGGGCCACAGGATTTCTTGGAAAACAGAAAATGACAATAACTAGTCACACTTGTATCCAGACTGAACTGTACGGGCATCCTAAATAAACCACAGAATGGAGGCTACGCAGAAGAGATCCTATCTGAGACCATCTTCAAGAAACAAGATGATGAGAATACCTCATGAAATACATCGGGATCCCCAGGATTGAAGAGGGAAGGCAGCTTTTCCTCCAGTCCTCGAACCACTTCTGGCCAGACAGAATTCACCAAGAAGTCATATCCAGGAACAACGGTGCCTTTCTCACTGTAAGACAAGAGCCACGGTCCGTATTTGCCATAATCTTCCATTTACAATGAGGAAACCTGTACTGCTTTGCACCTACTAAAACAAGACCATCCTTGTCAGCTAGCTTGCTTCTATGCCAGAGCTTCTCAGATGTTGATGTCTCCTGGTAGCAAGGACATGGTAAAACCACTGCATAGAACCTGTATAACTCTTCCCTGTCAAATGCCCTACCCCTCTTAGGCCTCAGCTTAGGCCACAGAAAAGACCTCTGTACATTCCACTCAAACTCCATTACAGCATAATGTGAGTTACTCTACTTTACCCACTGCTCACTGTTTACCCACAGCTTCGACTGTCTTCAGTTGTTGTCTATGTCACTCTAAACTCTTGAAACTAATATCAGAATAAGGTGCTTTGTATGTGCATGTTTTGTTTTGCAGGTTTTTTTGTATGTATGTTAGATTTCAGAGTCGAAATGGTGGATCCTCTCACCATTCTGTGCTTCGGCTCTATCTTTAAGAAGGGCTGACAACAAGACTTCACAAGGCTGTCACAAGGACTGCTATTTGCAGACCACCCAGGACTGCTCCTAGCACACAGCTAGTCTATGCTGGTTATGGTGAAGCAGACCTATGAACACCTAGGCAAAGACTGTCTCACCGGCTTGATTACTGATGACTGCTGTATGCATACACTTCTCTTTAGAAATGTTAAACAATTTAGTGGGGCTGGAAAGGTGGCTCAATGGTAGAGCACTTGCCTTGCATGCCTGAGGCCCTGGGTTCGATTCCTCAGTACCACATAAGCAAAAAGAAAAAAAAAGCCGGAAGTGGCACCGTGGCTCAAGTGGTAGAGCGCTAGCCTTGAGCTGAAGAGCTGAGGGACAGCGCCCAGACCCAGAGTTCAGGCCCCACGACCGGACCCAAAAAAAAAAAAAAAAAAAAAGGTAAAAAAATTAAGGGAAAGTATTACGTTAGCAAGCCATGGAAGTGTTGTAGCTTAACTCTGGATTGAAACTTTAAGACTTAACATTTTGATAACACAGATAAGACTTTATGTTAAAGGCTGAAAGTTTCATCAATTTTCCTCCTCAGAAAAATGATCTAGACAGACAGGACGGAATGATAAAGGGAATAAAAGGAGGAGGCAACAATGCTTGATAAGAAATGCACTCATTGGGCCAGGCGCTGGTGGCTCACGCCTGTAATCCTAGCTACTCAGGAGGCTGAGATCTGAGGATCGCGATTCAAAGCCAGCCCGGGCAGGAGAGACCTTGAGACTCCTATCTCCAATAAACCACCAGAAAACCGGAAGTGGCGCTGTAGCTCAAGTGGTAGAGCGCTCGCCTTGAGCTGAAGAGCTGAGGGACAGCGCCCAGGCCCAGAGTTCAAGCCCCACGACCGACAAAAAAAAAAGAAATGCACTCATTACCTTGCCCATGTAATTGTAACCCCTCTGTACGGTATTTTCACAATAAAAAAAAAAGTGGGGGAAAAAAAAAAGGCTCTACTGCTCTGTCCATGAGGAGCCGTCAAAGGATCTCAGTACAAGCACGCCTGGGCACTGATGACCAATCACTGCAGGAGAGGCAGGGGCAGAGACAAGGGGTGGGGATGGGGCTCCCACTGCTCACATGCCCAGTTGAAGATTTCCCAGTCTAGATGTTCCATCAGATTGGGAATTAGCTGTTAGGGCATGCGGAGGAAAGAATGACATGAGAACTTCAAACTACAGACCACACAACACCAATTTTAAATAGCAGACCTTCCTCATCTTCAAAGAAACATGTAATTAAGGCTGCCAAAGAAAAGATAAAACCTGACTCAGACTGCTCTGTAGAAGAGCTGACAGGTTTTATTTGGAGGGTAAACCCTGAATGTTGCTGGTGGTCAGTTAGGAAGTTCACCGAGTGATGTGTGGAAAGCAGGGACAATACACAAGGGAGTGGCAAGCAGGGGTCCTGAAACCTGGAGTGCAGCAAGACCAGACACTTGACGGGGCTAGAAGCCATGGAAGATGGTCTAGCAAGGGCCAATACAAAGTATTTGAGGCTTCTGTGCAAATCCCACTATCCTGAGACCAGGTAGGACTTCCAAAGCTTGGACACCTGGCATTTCAGGACCAAGAGCAGCCTTTGTCAAATCTAATGATGATCAGAGTCACTTTAATACTGCATCACAACTTCCACTGCCATCCCCAAATCCAAATCTAGCTAAAAATCCTCATGATTATCTAACACAGTGGCACAGCCTCACCTGCAATGGGGCGGAGGAGACAGATGGGGCACTTCCAAGGTCAGATTTTTTTTTCAAGAAACAAATTTAAGACCAAATAGACTGCATGTCCCACAAAGTCAGAGACTCTACTTGCTGTCTGCTGTTGTTTTGTTTTTGAGGCAGCTATGGCTGGACAAAACTCATACTCCTCCTGTTTCCACTGGGACCACAGGTGTGCATACCTCATCTACTTCTTATTTCCCTATCTGAAAGATCCAAACTCTTCCATTTTGCAAGCACTTCTGGGAAGCTGCCATCTTCAAGATGAGCATTGCAGAGATGGCTCTTCTGTAAAATGGAGGTCAGTCCAAAGCAGAGGCAAAGGCAATCTGTTCTGGATTCCAAGGACACCATGAATATGGGACGCTGGTTTAAGGGATCTCGAGAAGGAAGTGGTCTTTCAGCTGGGGCTGTGTGTGGAGGGATAGTTCAACAGGAAGGAAGATAAAAGAAAGAAACAAAGATGGCTGAGATAACAAAAGGAGCACTGAAGAAGTACATGTGTATGTGAGTGTTGGGGAAAGGTGGCCAGCACTTCAAGAGGTGCAGGGAGAGTTCCTGGTGGAGAGCTGCCAGGAACAGATTATGGAAAGTCTTCTCCACTCTGTCAGAGAGTCTGGATCCGTCCCACAAGCACAAAGACACTGCCAAAGACTCAGAAGGCACAGTCCATGAGTCTCAGAACTGCCACGGCTGGCTGGAGAACAAGCCTGGACAGCAGACACTGCTATTCTGGCCATCAGACAAGTGGCCTAGACTAGACGTGGCAACAGTTAAAGAGTGGGATATTTATAAAAGAACTGAAAAGTCACATAAACTGGCTACCAGAAGGGGAAATTGAAGATGACCTCACCAATCAGTATAAAACTTGAATTAAACAGAGTTGGTGGTATTCATACAGTATGACATCAGAATCTTGCAATTTTGACTGCAAACTAGATTTAGGAAGATGGCAGAGATGCCGCATGGAGGAGGAAACGGCACAACCACAAGGCTCCCAATGACCTGCTCCTGTCACCAGTCCCAGGGCACAGTCTAGGCACCCTTCAGTTACCTGGAGACGGCTCCTCCTGTGACCTCCCGGAGAAGGCGGCAGTGGTGAGGGACAAATTCCAGGAGTTTATCATACATGAGCTGAAGGCCCCCGGGCTGGGACTCAGCAAAGTGTTCACTGATCACCTATGATGAGAAACAACACTTGTATTTTTATTTTTTAAATTACTGTTAGTTATAAAGGTGATGTATAGAGGGGTTACTGTCAGGTAATATGACCCACTCTTATTCCTTTGCTCTCTCCCCGTGAGACATTTCTTTTTTGTCGGTTATGGGGGGCTGAACTCTAGGCCTGGGTGCTGTACCTCAGCTCTTCGGCTCAAGGCTAGCACCCTACCACTTGAGCCACAGCACCACTTCCGGCTTTATCTGTTTATGTGGTGATGAGGAATCGAACCCAGAGCCTCATGGATGCAACGCAAGCACTCTACCACTGAGCCACCTTCCCAGCCCAGAAACAACATTTTTAAAAAAGTAAAAGAGGAAGTGGTACTGTGGCTCAAAGTGGTAGAGGGCTAGTCTTGAGCTAAAAAGCTCAAAGAAACTTTCAGTATACTAGATTCAGTTCAATGAAAAACATGTGTAAATTAGTAATGAATATTTTCTCTAACTTCTAAAGACTTCATTTGTCATTTTTCATCTAAAGGTAACTACAAAGAGAACACATGAGTATAGGAGACCGAAGATTATTTTTCAGTATTTGTAAAGAGCCCAAAAGAATTACTGAAATTAAGTTTAAATTCCATTTCTACTTTGATTTCACTCTTACACTGTGGTCATGGCAAGTACAACTGCCGTACTACTCACTGCAACTTCAGGGACGAGGAGCAGACATGAGGCCCACAGCCCTGGGTCAGGGTGCTCCTGAATGCGGGCAGCAGGCCCATGAGGACCATAGCCCTGGGTCAGGGAAACAAGCTGCCATTTATCCGTGTCATTTCCATACCCTCACAGATGAGGGACATCAGGTGCCAGATTTCCAGAATGTTCTTCATGTTTCTGAGCTCTGGCCAAACACCATCCATTCCTAAGGCGTTGCGGGCGTGTGGCTGCCTTCTCTTCCATACCCCTGCTCAGCACCTGCACACTCCTTTGCAGTCAGTGTCATCTGCTTATAATGGCTCACAAAACCAGTAGTTCCTACATTTTCTAGGGTACAATCTATACCCTAATATGGAGATAAATTTTTTTTGGAGAGTTACTGGGCTTTGAACTCAGGGCTTCACGCATATTAGGCAGGAGCTGTACTAGTGGGACCAAGTCCTCTCTCTGTTCTACAGTTATTTCTTGAGTAAGGATCTCATGGTTTTGCCCAGGCTGGCTTGGACTGTGATCTTCTTATTTATGGCTCTAGTAGAACTAGGATGACAGATAAACCTTATCATGCTTAGTTAATCAGTTGAGATGGGATCTTGCTAACCTGTTTGACCAGGCTGACTTCACACTCCGATTCCCCCAGTCTCTGCCTGCAGTGTAGTTGGGATCATAGGTATGAAACTGCTTCCACTTGCTAAAATATGTGACCCATAAAATGTGATCCTCCTAGACAATATTCTCACCTTCTGGCAAGCTGCAGGATCACCAGAACACCTGAGAACATGGCCAGCTCAGAGCAGGTCACTTATATAACACCCAGCTTGGGACACAGCACCAGCTAGTCTTGCAGGGACAGGGCTCCTGGCAGGCAGACCTCTGGCATTTCTGCCTCCAACACCACCCAGCCAAAGGTGGAAGCTAGTACTCCTCTGAGCAAGGCCACTGATTGAGAACACACCTCATCAACATATGGCTTCACCAGGACCTGACCAACCAAGGCCTCTGCATCGCGTGTCTTATCGATGGTGGCGTAGGTCCGCAGGCAGTGCCGTATGATGTCCACGCTGGAGGTCTGCAGGCCTTCCAGTAGGAGGCCCTCCAGGGACTGCTGCAGCACAGCTGTGATGCCAGCTATGCGCTGCAAGGAAACAGGCGGAGGTCACACTAAGCAGATCCACACTTGGGTGCCATGCCCTAGGGAGAAGACGGACGGGATGTGTAACCTTGAGAGCAAGAGCACTGCTTGGGGAGGAACATCAAATCCTTCCTTTTAGCTGGTGCCAGTGGCTCATGCCTGTAATCCTCACTACTCAGAAGGCTGAGATCTAAGGATCATAGGTCTAAACCAGCCCAGCAGGAAAGTCCACGAGATCTCATCTCCAATTAACCACTAGAGAAACAGAAGTGGTGTTGTGGCTCAAAGTGGTAGAGAGCTAAGTCTTGAACAAAAAGGGCTCAAGGGGATAGCACCCATGTCCCAAGTTCAAGCCCCATGACTGACAAAACAAACATGAATCCTTCCTTTTCCCTATAGCCTTTTGTAAATAGGTTGCTAACTAATCAAAGAAGAATTCTGACAGAGAAGAAAATGCCATTCCTCTGAACCTATAGAGTCCTTTTTGAAAAGCCCAACTAAAGGCTTTGGGGGAAAAAATAGCCCGTATCTCTTAACACGTCACACATTACATAAAATTCAGAACTGGTCTTCTAATTTAGAGAAGTGAGTGGGGGTTCACTCAAAATCTATAAAGTATGACATATGAAGCAGAAGTCCAATGAACATAAACTGAAAAATACTGAAAGCTATCATCAGCATACTGAAGATCTGCCATTAATATCAACAGTATTGGTAGATAAAACCCAAGTTACTCAGCAAGCCCCTAAGCACCAAGTGATGAAACTCCAAAACACTTACCGGTCTTACTTTGTCCAAAAGTGGCATGCCCTTGCTCTGTACAGCATGAAACTGCAGCTGGTTAAACTCTGTGGCAATCCTCTCCAAAATCTGACCTGTCAAGAGTGGGCTAGGTAAGACAAAAACCAGAGAATTAATTCTAAGGGTATTTACTTCATGCCTTCAGCCATGTGCTCCAGCCCCAGGGGGAGCAGCTCTATCACAGTGATTTCCAAGGCCACATGCTGCTTTGGCACCCCTCTGAGTCACATGCCCAGTATGTTTCTGGTGGGCAATCAGTGGAGTACAAGGGACAGATATTGCTGGGCTTGAAGCCTGGGGGCTGACACAGTGAGGCTCATCATCCTCTAACGCACTCCATCTTTCCCATCTCTTCCTGGTCTCCTCCTGTTTTCTCATTCCTCAGCTTTATCCCACTTCTCTATCTTCTTTGGAAATACCTCTGATATTTCTAAAATGCCAAGCCCTTTTGTCACCTTCATAAGACTAGCCTCTAGTAACAATAAATAAAATAGCTTAAAACAGCTTTAGATTTGATCAATAACAGCTCACTTAAAAATTATGTTACTAACAGCACAAAGAGCAGATGGTCCATATGCTCCAGGTCCTGGAGAGAAGTCATTCATTATGCATTTGCCCCAGGAACGGATGCACTTTTTCCTAGTGCCCACTATGACTTGTCAACAGCACATTAGGGACAGTACAGCAGAGAGGAGAAGTGCAAGGCATTTCCAACCAATTTTCCTAATCAATGATTAGGAAAAATGTGCACAGCCAAATGACACCAAATCCCAATCTGAAACTATCAGGTAGCCTGTTCCTGCACCAGTGCACTGACACTAATTCAGCAGGACCTGCCTACCAGGGTCAGTCTTCAACATCCCCACCTATGTCCTGACTAGCCTGACAGACTTACCATCTATCTACAAAGCATCGAAACGTAGCTAAGCTATGTTTCTGTCCTATGCTCACTAACATGTTCTGGCTTTCCCCACTTACTCTACCAAGAAAACTGCTGATCTGAATGGAAGCTTCTCTAAGTGACCTAGAGCAAGGAAGGACACAGCATCTGCTATATTTAGGTGGTAATATTCTGGATACATGGAAGCAGATGGCAGGCACCTTTTTGTAGGCACCTTCCCACTCCAGACACTAAAGGTTGAAGTAGGGCTTGGCCCAATTCAGGACCTTAAAAATCTTATGGGAAAGCACATAATCAGTGGCTGATGGGAGCAGGGGACAAGCATCTATCTCAGAGGTCAGGGAAGACTTTCTGGAGGAAGTAGTCCTCCAACTAGTTTTTAAAAGGTAACTCTTGTAATGTCTCATTTGCAGTCTGCTATAGAACAAAGCAGGACAGACTTTAAAAGGAGCAGGAAGGATCATCAGTACCCAAGGTGACAGAATGGTGAATGTTACAAAAATAAACCTATAGTGCTTAACAACTGCTTTTTCTCCCACTTAGCATGGTACCTCTTCACATCTTAACCATGTCCTAAACAAGCTTTGGAAGATGCAAAGTGGAACCTGGCAGACAAGGGAGGAGGAAATGGAAGAAAGGCTTATAGCAACACAGATGGCCACCTAGAAACTGGAATACATGCCAGCGGCGTTCACTGCACTCAGGAAGCCACAGCAGGTGCAGTTTTGGTGAAGAATGCAGAGGTGTGAAGAATGACCAGGGAGAGGCTGATTAAAATGTACTCACAGAGTGACTTTAAGCAAAGCTAAGATGTGACTGGGCAAATATGGAGGTAGATGCAGAAGGCAGGAGGTCAGCCAGGCCTCAGGTAAAAAGATAGTGGAGGAGCAGTTGTCAGACGTCTGTCTCCCAACCCAAGGGATGCCTCAGCAGCAAGTGCTGCAGCGTGGGAGTGGTGCATAACAGATGAGTCAAACAAAAGGAGAGACGGAGCCAGGAGAGGGTGGTTCATGCCTGTAATACTAGCTACTCAGAAGGCGAGACTTGAGGACTGAGGTTCAGAGCCAGCCTGGGCAGACTAGTCCACAAGGATTTTTATCTCCAATCAACCAGTACTGAGCTGGTAGCAGTGGCATGGCTCAAATGGTAGAGCACCAAGTGTGAGCAAGAAGGCTGAGCAAGTGAGAGCCCTGAGTTTATAACAGGGAGACAGTGAAAAGGGGGGAAAAGGGTTGCCTTGTGATCCCCAGCCTGGAGAAATGGCGAAAGCAAAGAATGAAAGAGATGAGGGAAGATTGCTGGAGTGCACATACACTGGGTGCATATAGGACACCAGGGGACACGTGGTCAGGCCGACCTGAATACGAGGCTGGAAAGGCTTAGGTACAAGTAAGAGCCAGCGTCTCCCAGCAGGCCAGGGATCAGACGGCCATGAGTATGGATAGGATTGGAGCACTGGAAGAGCACCTGGAGCTGGCACAAAGGGCCAGTGTAGATATGGAAAAAACATGGCAAGAGGGACCCAGGCAGGAGGAAACTGGGACAGCTATCAGGTGTCCGTTGAGGATGGGTGGGAAGGGCGTGCAGCAGAGGCAGAGCAGGTCAAGCTCACTGGACTCCACAGACATCAGCAGTGACTCTGATAAGTGCACTGGTACAGAGAGCAAGAACTGACAACTGCTCCTAATCTTGAGAGGGGAGACCCTGGGGCTGGAGGATTGCTTCTCCTCTGTGGATGTTTCATTTTCTATCTATAAAGTGAGAGGATTGGCATATACTGTCTCTTCAAATCCAAAATTCTGATGCTTAAAACAAAGAAAGCTGACATGCTTATATAGTGTGATCAGGATTTTGAACCACAGGTATATTCTACTTGAGCTTGGTTGTTTTTCTAGCAGTGTATTCTACTTTACTAAAAAAAGAAGAAGAGGAAGAAGAACAAGAAGAAGAAGAAGAAGAAGAAGAAGAGAAAGAAAGAAAGAAAGAAAGAAAGAAAGAAAGAAAGAAAGAAAGAAAGAAAGAAAGAAAGAGAAAGGAAGAAAGGAAGGAAGGAAGGAAGAAAGAAAGAAAGAATAAAGGTTAGTGCTATCAACATGACTTGAAGAGACAAGCTTTTGAGGGCTGATGGTACACCAGGCACCAAACCACAGAACCTCATCGGAGGTCCACAGACTTGCGCAGGGAGCTCCAAGGACAGTCCCTTACAGGTGCTCAGGTGGAGGGCTGCAGAGCTCTCACTTGGAGCCTCCTGCTGGCTTGCAGGGAGGGCTCCCTACTGGAGTTCTTCATTTCCTCAGTCACTTTCCCAACTGGCTGACTTAAATTCAGAATAGGATGAGATGATGTGTTCTGTACTATTCTTAATGATATAAAGCTAGTGCATTTGAACTACTAGACATGTGAAGTAATACTTTGAGCCTGTCAATATTCTGAGATAAATGCTAGTCCCTTACCTGAGGGTCAGTCAGGATTTTGCTGGTCTGTGGACAAGGCAATTCCAATGGTAAAATCTTCCAGAGAGCATCTGCCTGTGACTCCTGGAAAGGTGGCAGCCTACAACTGAGGTTTAAAGCCACCCAGGCTTTGCAGCAACAAGCACTGAGACTAGCCCTTTCCTTAAATTTATGAGCATAAATAAATCCATTGTCTAAATTTCATACACTTCTTTCCATTCTAAAATGAGCTGTAACTTGAATTTTTTTTCTAGCCTGGGCATGAAGTATTCAGTATACTTACCTGCTTGCTTCTAGTGTAGTTGTTTCTTTAGAACCTTGAGAATTTAATATTTTTTCAATTTTCTCAACTGATCGAATAACTTGTATAAGCCTCAACACACACATCTATAAAAATGAAAGAAAAGCAAAAATGTTATCCTGATGTAGAACTTAATATATTTCATCTTAAATGTGGGAAATACAAAGCTGAAAGTTAACAGTCTACATTTTTAGCATTTCCATGTAATACTAAATTCCCAAGAATGAAAATTTCAATTTTGGCTTTGTTAGAACAAGTATATTTCAATATCCTATCATAAGCTCATAATCAAACAAAAAATAAGTAAAAGCAAAAACAACAAAACAACCTTGACCTTTTTGCCTTCTTACAACTCTGTATTCCTAATCCCTTTCTTTTCCCTCCTTCCTCCCCTCCCCTCCCCACCCCCCACCTTAACTTTCTCTTTCACCAGTCCTGGGGCTTAAACTCAGGGCCTAGGCACTGTCTGTCCCTGTGCCTTTTTAACTCAAAGCTAGCACTCTACCACTTGAATCAGCACCACTTCTGACTTTTTCTGTTTATGTGGTACTGAGGAATCAAACCCAGGGCTTCATGCATGCTAGGCAAGCCTCTGAGCCACATTCCTAGTCCTTCTTATTCCTTTTTTCTTTTTTTTTTGGTCAGTCTTGGGGCTTGAACTCTGGGCCTAAGTGCTGTCCCTCAGCTCTTCAGCTCAAGGCAAGCGCTCTACCACTTGAGCCACAGCGCCCGGTTTTTTGGTGGTTTATTGGAGACAGGAGATTCACAGCCTTTCCTACCCAGGCTGGCTTTGAACCATGATCCTCAGATCTCAGCCTCCTGAGTAGCTAGGATTACAGGCATGAGCCACTGGCCCCTGGCTCATTTCTTCATTTTTAAATGAACCTTTTTTTTTTTTTTTTGGCACTATCCTTACTCTCTTAAGGCATTTTTTTGTATTTTATCTTCCAACATACTAATCTTCAATTATATGAGCACAATATAAATATCCAAGTCACAATTCATTAAAGAAACTGCTCTACACAAGTGTTAGAGTTTGAAGCATAGTTATTCACTGGACATCTGTTATGAAGTAAGTCACTGTATAGACACTGGGAACATGATTGAATAGGCAAATGCATCTCCAAAACAAGCTTTTTTCCTTTAGATTGTAAAAGTGTGTTAACAAACTTAGAAAAACACTGGGCAGAACAAGCTAGAGCAAGAGTCTTCCATTCTTTTTATTGGGGATGGAGTGGGGAGGTGGTACTGGGGTATGAACTCAGGGCCACTTGAGTCTTACCTCCGGCTCTTCCCTTTCCTTTTTGGGGAGTGTGTTATTTTGAAATAGGGTCTCACTTTTGACACTTCCACTCCAGCAGGAATGACAGGCACATCGAGTTCAGCTTTTTCTACTGAAGTGGGTATTGTGACTTTTTGTCTAAAATTACAGGTATGAACTATTACACTTGGCCAATTTCAATCCTGCTACTATGTTATGATTTTTTAAAAAATCAGGAAAGCACACACAAGGAAGCACTGCACAGCAAAGGCAGCACATGTGGAGGAATGTACAGTGGGTGCAAGACAGCAACTAGGGACGGCGGGAGACAGTACCCTCCCTCCTTCAGGTCGGGAGTCTGGGCGGTGCTGGTAGCGGAGCTTCAGAAAGTTTCTCTGCTCAGAAAGGCACACTTTTCACAGGGGTTTTGAAAGATATCACACTTGCTAAACTTTAAAGAGCTTTACTGTAGGCTATTACTGCTGCTTTCTCCTCTGAAAATTGATAAATTTTAACCTGGACACAATGTGGGGATCTTAGACCACTTACATCGAGTCCTACATCACAGACCAGCACTATCTTCCTACTTCAGGAGCTCCCATGAGGAGAGTATGAGAAGGCTGGAGGAGGGGCATTTAGCTGGCCTGGGCCATATTTCTTTAAAGATATTAATAAATAATAAAACACAAGATGAACACGCAATTTTCTTTCCTGTTTAATAACATTAATTACTTTCCCTCACCCTTCAGATTCTCAGGATTTTAATCAGAGCAGGAGTGAGAAGACCTGGTGCTATTCCTCACCCCCTGCATTGAGCTAACCTAAATGCAACACCACACTGTTCACGGGTGGGCTTGGCTGTCCCCTGGGGGTATCTGGGACAAAGAGAGTAAGCAGACCACACCCCTGAACTTGATAGTAACCACAAAGTGTCCTAGTGAGTTGATGCTTTAAGCTTAAGATAAAGTATACCTTTTTTTTCCGAATGTCTTCTTGTTTAGACATTCGTTCATCTACGGCCCGAATTCCTTCACTGACAGATGATCTAAGACTCTAAAAGAAAGCACATTGTGAAAATTATCATGCACATTATGAAATGTACAATTAATTCATTTCTTCAGGTTTTAATATCCACAAGCCAGTATTACGCAGATATTGACAAAATCATCAAGTATCAGACATAATTGCTTACAGGGGACTCATGATTTAGTGACAGAGAAAGCCAAAGTCATTTAAATGGACTAAGTACCATAGGGAAAACAGCTTATCTGATGAACATCATAGATGACTGGGGTAGAGGAGGGGGATAACCTGATTCACATGTGGAACGTCTGGGCTACAGAGGGGATGGGATGTGAAGAAGACTCCCTCAACACCAAGAGTTTCCTATAGCAGTGTCACTGCAGGCTTGTTTTGAAAAGAAGTAGAAACTCACAGGGAAGGTCTGACTTTAGGAGGACTTTGCCCCAAACACTAGATTCTACTCATTTAAAACACTGATCAATCATGATGAAAATACTGTTTGGGGAAATTTAGGAAGCAAGAAGTCACGAAAAGGATGGCCAAAAGGGGGGATGTCATAGCAAAGAGACATGTACAGAAGCAAATGGATTAAGTATGAGATAATCAGAAAGGATGGCCAAAATGAAGGTAATGGAACAACTAGAATAAAGTGTACAAAAATTAATAGAAAAATTAACAGAATAGTGAATTTGCTCAGTCAACAAATGCTACAAAATACCTGCGAAGCACTGGCTATCCACAGAAACCAATAAAGAATGAGACAGCACTGTTTCCTTCTTTAGCAGCCTCTTAAGTTAGCATTAAAACGAAGCAAAAGTCTGGGGGTAAACCAATTAGGCGAGACTAGGCTACTAGCTAGGCAGGGCCAAGGAGGCGTGAAAGATATCCGTGAATCACAGAAACATTCCCTTACATCCCATGGAAAATCACTTTGGAGGAGCTGTTTTAAAAATAAAGCAAGTGGGGGCTGGGAAGGTGGCTAAGTGGTAGAGTGCTTGCCTTGCATGCCTGAGGCCCTGGGTTCGATTCCTCAGCACCACATAAGCAAAAAGAAAAAAGCTAGAAGTGGCACTATGGCTCAAGTGGTAGAGCACTAGCCTTGAGCTGAAGAGCTGAGGGACGGTGCCCAGGCCCAGAGTTCAGGCCCCACGACCGGACCCCCCCACCAAAAAATAAATATAATAAAAAATAAAGCAAGTGTAACTACTGTAGTTCATGATATAGCTTAGGCTGTACCTGATCATGAGTCTTTCTGCCCCCCCCTCCTGAGTTATCTGACTCCAACCTCTATTCCGCATTTTTCTAGCACAGCTCACACACACTAATGGTCTACCCATGTCACACACTCCAAGTTGATCAAGCACCTGACAAGATCTGAGACTGAGGGGCTGTGTTACCTAGTGGTGGCAGTGCTGGTCTCTGAGGTGGCATACCTAGTGCTTCTCAGTACTACAGGGTTTAAAGCATTCTGCTGCAAATGATGTTGAAACTTTCCCTCTAATGTTCACCTATGGGTCTCCCTGTCTCCATGGCGTAGGACTCCCATTTTCATTGCAGACATTACCTCAAGGAAATGTTACAGTACCAGTTTGTTAGGTCGTACATTAATTATTTTAAAATGTTTTCTTCTTGGCAATTCTAGGGTTTGAACTTGGGGCATTGTGCTTGCTCAGCTTGCTTGCTCATAGCTGGTGCTCTACCATTTCAGCCTTATCTCCAGTATAGTACTTTGTTGATTATTTGGAAACTTGGGGTATCAAGGACTTTTCTACCCAAGCTGGCCTTGACCCATGATCCTCTAGGTTTCAGGTTCCTGAGTAGCTATAATCACAGGTGTGAGCCACCAGCGACTGGCTAGATGACATTAGCTTTGTATCACCCTTCAGCTGGTTCGTGGTCTAAACAGTTTTTGTGGGCTGCTCTAGGAACCTGACCACACACAGAATATTACTTGAGAAAACATTAAGTTAAAAATGTTTATATATAAGCTACCTGACTCACTAACATGACACATTCATATTTCACCTTCTTCTCTTGCATTTTAAAGCTATGTACAATCAGAATCTGTCATCTTCAAATGTATTTTAGGTTGTAATATCACATGCAAAAATATTATTTGCAACTTTTCTAGGGTGATAATCATTCAGTGAAGAACAAATTAATAGATTAAAGAAATTATATTTGGAAGAAGACAAGCATGTAGTAAACAGAGATTGTTTAATACTATTGGGGGAACTCACCAGAACCTCTTCTCGTAATTGTCCCAGAGGCACAGAAAGCTGGTTAAGGGCCTTGTCCATGCCAACCTGAAGGCAAAATCATGGCAGCATAAACATCACAATCAACAGTAACAGGATCTCTTTTATAACCAAAGTAGTACTAGATTTTGTGTCATTCTTTGGTAAAGGAGATTGACAATTACTTCAAATTTCTGGGGTAAAATAAATGACAAATTTTCTAAAAACAGTGCACTTCTAAGACTCAATATGCATGGAAAATAAACCATGTTTGTAGGCCTGTGGAGTCACAACTGACCAAGTTTGTGGAGAGGTTAACAAAGTCTGCATAGTCCTTGTTGATCAGCTCCACCATGGCTGTTTTAAGCAGCTTGTAGTATAGTTCCAGGTCATCTCTCAGCTCTTCCAACTGCACCCGTTTCCTACAGTCTGACACAAAGTGATCAACGTCGAAATCCTCCTGAAAAGCATGCCAGAAGAATTACCACAATGGTATCACATTTACATAAGAGGATGATGTAGGACAACAGAAAAGCCACTGCATCTCTTGCAAGGCCACACTGCTATAGGAAGAGCCCTTCAAGTCCCACACTGCACAATAGTGTCTATCCACTTGTGCAGGAGCCAGGAAGGACCCTGACCAAGAACCATCCTCCTGTGCCTCACTCTACTCCCACCTTAATTGTATAAGTATTAAATGTTTAGTGTAAAACTTTAAAGGCTGGGCACTCATGGCTTATAGCTCCAATCCTGGCTCCTAATCTGCAGGCACCATCCCTACAGGTCAATGAACTACATTTCTACAGTGATTATATCTGATAGGAGGCCATCTGACCAAGTCGCAGGGTCAGGGTCACTAACTGAAAAGTTATCTGTTTCTCTGGGTCCAGAATCAGCTGCATACATTCCTGACTCTACTTAGGGCACCTGACAGATGATGTCATGTGGTACACTACAGAGGGCACCACTGCAAAATGTTGACACAAATGTAGGAAAGCAACCCCGACAGCAAACACTCCACCCATTCTGTCACAGAACTCATAAAATGTGCCTTTAAAGGAAACATAACTAGCAGATAGCCTTAAACGTGTGGTTCCACCTAGAAAAATCAACATTTCACAGAACAGCTGTTTTCTGAACTTCCTTCTACACATTCACCAGCACTACAAATTGCTTGGCACTTTCAAGAAGCCTAAGTGTCATGAAAGGATATAGGACTGCAGGCAATCGAATCACTCCCCAACTTGCTCTTTAAGATGTATCTTATTAAGTACATATCCTTTATTTCTACTTCCTGAGGTTGCATTTACCAAAAGCCTATCAGCTCCAAAGGAGATGGTGGGATAATGAGGCAGGAAGGATGTGGGCAGTGGGCCACGTGGTGGACAAGATTTTTCAGCACTCCTAGATTCCTGAGGCTAGAATAACCTGTGTGTGGTGTGGATTCTTTCCCCCCAGGCACATCTCCACAGCATGTATCCTTAATTCTTTCTATCCTGTTTCAGGCTAGCTCTTGGCCAAGACAGAGAACAAGGGGTTTGTGACACCCCATTCAAATCATGGTGGTTGAGCAGGAACGTCACCATACCGGAACATTATTCCTAGGTCTAGAAAAATCCCACATATGAAAAATGTTGTGCACGCACTAAAAAAGTGCACAAATAAACTGTATACCATCTAAACTACATAAAATACTTTTAAAAAGAAGCCAACTAGAGAGGAAAAAGTATAAAAAGTCCGCTTAAGACGCTCGGTGCCAACGCTTTCAGAGCTTATTAATAAGCCAAAACTTTACGCCTCCTAACCCTGATACTGAGGGATACAAGAAGCACAGATGCTGGTCTTGAGACACTGAATATGGACGCGGCTAGGGATGGTTCTAGTGACAACCTGGAGCAAAGCCCGGCTCTCCCTGAGCTGGTGACACCCTATCACCGGAACGTTCTCGGTTTCTCTCTCCCACGAGCTCACATCCCGCACCCCTGGCACGGCCGTCCCGGCTTCGCCTTATCCGAGGGCGCGGGGCGCTTCGGGAGAAGCTGCTCCGTGGCCCACGCTGCCAGAGCCCGTGCCCGGCACCAGCTTCGGACCGACCCGACCCTGTGGCTGCCCGGGCCTGGGGCGCCGTCCGGAGGGCTCAGGCCTG